GAGGTTAGAAATATTGGGAGGACATGGGGAGAGCTCCATGCAATGGCGAAGGATAGAACGACTTGGCGTGAGTTGGTTGAGGGCCTATGCTCCATTGGGGGATAGACAGGCAGAAGAAGAAGAATAGTAGTAGCAGTAGTAGTAGTGGCAGCAGCAGGAGTAGTAGTAGTAGCAGTAGAAGAAGAAGAAGTAGTAGTAGTAGTAGTAGTAGTAGTAGTAGTAGTAGTAGTAGTAGTAGTAGTAGTAGTAGTAGTAGTAGTAGTAGTAGTAGTAGTAGTAGTAGTAGTAGTAGTAGTGGTGGTGGTAGTGGTAGTAGTAGTAATTTATGCAACAAAAAGGGTGCTGTTTATCATACTGTCCCGAAAGCTAAGGTATATGGGCCACGTTAAACGTCTTGGTTTTACGAAAATAGTGGTTGCTAGGGGTACTATTTCCAGAAAACGACAGAGGCTCCAACATGCACGAAGATGGATGCTTATTTTTGCGTTCGTCTAACTGACATAATAGCATTTGGCCTCTTTACAACCACGGCCTTCTCTATTTATCTAGAGAAGGCGGTGTTTAAAGCATTGCTGCGGCATTTGTGCCTTTCGGTCGGTAAATCCGACTTCATCGAGCATTAGTTGACCGGTTAACTTCCCAGATAGTTTTGGGAGAGATGCTTTAACCTTATTTGTCTGATGTTCCTGTTGTCCCCTTATCTACAAGTGTTGCATCTATCCAGGGCAAAACGCGTATAGACTGGTCAGCCTTCAAATGAATGAGTGACGTTTAACCCAACCAGGACCGCACAAGAAGCGATAAACATCCGGTGACACAAAGTGTCACCATTCGAATGAAACCCAAGGAATCGTCATGTTATTTACTTGACTGCTTAAAGTGCTATCCGTATGCTGAACACCCCGTTTATCACGGGCTGCGCCATTTGCAGATCATCAGCGAGCAGTCCGCATGTCCGGGGGATGCAAATAGGTGCAGTCTCCTTGAGCATGCTTGACACTTTAACGTTAAAGCAATCCAGACGCCTGACACGACAGTATCGGAAACGCATGCATCAGCCATGGGTTCCCAGTTTGGTCCCGTCACTCTGACGAGTGCGGCTAATGGTAGCTGGAATTTGAGCCTTCTATGTCACGCAAGCACATAAAGAACAACACGGTACACATACACAAATATGCTCTAACTACCTTTGTGCAGTACAACTGAACCGTTAGAAACTGTCCACGGGATATGTTGCACGTCTGAAATTGCCAATAAATCTCTTGGTCTAGGGTTGCATTTCGACAGTTCACGATGAGAACGTTGCTCAGCTGATTACAACACTCCAACCCGCGACTGCCGGACATTTGAGCCTAATCAGTAAGACTTCGACAGATGTTTCAACCGAGGGTTGTCATTTAGTGGCATGTTCGGCTAACAGGCTTTACTCGTGTTCCAAATTAGTTTTGATAAACGTTATCACCCACTTGTTGGGGGTAGGATGTTGTGAACCAGCGGATTTCTGGGCATTGCATCTCTGGGGGTCACCAACTAGGAGATCTTCTGTCAGCTCTGTTTATGCTCATCTGAGCCATTATCCGTGGCGTACGACGGGGACGCATGACCGGAGTCGTATTTGATGATCCGTAAAACCAGAACTGAGCCTGCAGGATCCTGATGTGAGGTACGGAGTATCTCTTTATACATATCACAACAGTCTTTACCTTCCCTCACACCTGTGACAGAAATCTCCTTGCTAAGAAAGGGAATACAGATATTAAAGATGTATTGATTATTAAAGCACACAGGGCTGGAGAACTAGCTAGAGAAAGTTGGAGCTTCAGACATTTCTTGTCGTATGCAAGTTCTGTAGCGGACTTGCTGGTTGCTGACGAGGTATTATGTATTATTTGTAACAGATAGTATAGATATGGATGTTTAAGTTTAATATACTTTAAATGTAATTTTAAAAGAAACAATACAATCTTAATGTGTAATATATCCTTGGGACCAATTTAAAGTAATCTGGGATCAAATTAGTCTGTCTTACGATATATTAACACATCATATGCAAACCTTTCTTCTAGGGATGCACTTTTAATAATTTCCCTGTATTCTCTAGAGCTTTCGATTCCCAGGATTTTCAGTTTTCTATTTTCATAAGTATTTTGCAGCAGTATGCCTAGCAATATCTGCAAATCTATTTCTACAAAGCGCCAAACACTTTCTGCGAACCGGATAAAAAAATCGGCTACCACTTTTCACAGTTGTAACCGTTCCAACTGGACTTCCGATAATGGCGACGTCCTTCAGTAAAGAGTTTGGAATAGCCCCATAATGTTAGCATAGTTTGGCGATCTCCTGAATGTGTACTGCTTTTTCATTTTCTAAGTGAAATAAAATCGCTTTGACTGCACAACTAAAGAAGGTAAAAAAAAAAAAAAAATAGTTGTGTGTCCTTTAGTTTTTACAGTACAGGACGTTTCAGACTTGAGACAGTCAGTCACTGTCAGAACCACCAACATTTTCATTTTAACATTTTATTTTATTTTGAATTTTGCTGTGAACGACGGTTTAGGTTTACGTTTAAATCAAACAATCATCATTATGGCACAAGGGTAGTACCCATAAGTGCTCCGTTCTACTTCTAACTCAAGCCTGAGTCTCAGCGCAGTGTACGCCGTAGCAACGGCGAGTATCCTGCAATTCAAATACTGTGGGTAAATATTTAACTCCCAAAAAATGTTTGTCCGGGCAGCGCCGTTAGACTACTCTTGCCGATTACAACTGCCAGGGGATTTGTCATGTGTGCAGCAATACACACGGGCGTCCGATCTTGCTACTTACAGACCAGGGGAAATTACTAGAAGTTCATGTGAAAAAATCCCAACTGTTACGGTGATTTGTCATTTGAACCCTGGACTTCCAGCTCTCCAGGCGGATGCAATGCCTCGAGACCACTCAGCTCCCTAGCTGTAAGCGATTTTGACTGTTGTGGTTTTTGTAAAAAAAAAAAAATTTATAGGCAAATATTTATGTTCACTAGTTTGCCATTGCTACTAAACGATTGGCTGTCGATACCATTGCCGAAACCAACCAACACAATGCAGTCTGCTGCCAAATCACATGCAGCTGGGATCGAACCATGCATTTAGAAGGGAGTATGCAACGCCTACCTCTAACTGCCACAAACGCCAACACATTATCTCTGGTAGACAGTAGAGAAGGTAGAGACATTATACAACTGCCTATAAGATTGTATATATTGGAATCTGCTTAGAATAACAATTGTGTAATTCGTTTTGTTTCTTTCAAACTAAAATTCAAATCAATCTCTTTATGGCCATGGTGATGGTCTGTGGGATGACAGCAACAAGTTGATAAATAATATCGATTCTATTACCCTGGTAAGTTCAGTTGGTCAGTGAGTTACTCGTTAGGTAATCAAGCTTCCAACTTCACCACAGACAGGCTGCTCCATAAGCTGGGCGATGTTATTTTTTTACTCTCAGTCGAGAAATAGGAAATATGGATCAGCTAGTGCTGGCTAGAAACGGATAACTTTCAGGAGCATCAGTGGCTAGCTGGTTATCCTCCATTTTGGACTGGAAGTCTTATCCTAATAAGTGTTAGTACTGACATCTGTTCATTTATTTTATTCAAAAACAATTTTTAGAGTGAGGGGGGGGGGGGGGGGGGGGGGGAACGAGGTAAAATGTGTTGACAAAATAGAATAGCTTGTTTCTTAACCTTGGAAGAGTTAAACATGTTGATTAACCCTGTGGTAACAGAAAAGGTAGGTCATAAGGCTGGTGCTCAGGACATTTGACTAGCTGTTTTTTTTAAATTACTATTACCAGGTCGCTTATAAAGATTTTGAGCTTGTTAACCTGGGCTGAAGCTGAGACAAAGTAAAACAGACACTTTTAGGAAGAAGTTGGACAGTCTGATATCGAAACTAGAGAGATGAACACTTCTAGTTGTGACACATTTCCCTTTAACGAGTTGAGGAGGGGGAGTAGGAGGAAGAAAATACAGAATTAGAAGGAAAACATTTTGAATAAAATAAGAAATAGTATGAAGAAAATAAAGAAGAATTGGAGGTTTTGCAAAATCACCTTCATTTTTGTCCCAGGGCATGTTGATGTGAAAGGCAGTGAGAGAGCAGACGCTTTGGCTGGTAGTGCGACTATTAGGAATGGGCCCTCTATGGATAGGAGAGACATCATCAAGGCCAAATGAGAGACTAAATGCCGTGAGGTTTTCAGTTTCATGGAAAATAATTTTTTACTGAATAGACTGTATACTCTGGGTGTACCAGTTGGAGCCATGAGACAGGAAAACCATGCAGGAGCCACCGATCATTAATCAACCATAACATAATAAGAGTATCATCAGTTCTCGTTGTGCCTGGTGGCACATGAGGCTTCAGAGAGGACTTTCCATGCTTTCCTGTCCTGTGCAATCTTCAGTGCAGTTTTCCATGTCAAAGATGTCGCACTCAGGTCACTTTCCATCGTTCGTCTCCATGTTGTTTTTGGGCGCCCCTGTTTTCTCATTCCCTCTGGTGTCCATGTGAGAGCTGTTTTGGCAGGTATATCAGGATTCATTCTCATAACATGGCCAAGCCTTCTCCATCTTCTCTTGGTAATCATACTGTCTAAAGTTGTTTGGAGTAGTTAGCCTAAAAACACTTGGAGATAAACTCAGGACAAGACTGGATCACTTATGGTCATGTCTGATATGCGATAAAGATGATCTCAAAAAGAAACAGTGGACGAACTAATTGATGAAGAAAAAAAGACAAAAACTAAATAAGACGAGTGAAAAAGAACAACTTTGTTTGGCAAAGAAAAGACAAAGAAGAATAATAGTAAGAACAATAGAAGAGGAGGACAGCACAATATGATAACTATACACATAATCTTTATACAGTTTGTTGACATGTTTGATTTATCCAATGCACAGGGAAAACAGGAAGTTGATGAACGTGGTCATATTTTTCTCCAGGACTTTTTACGATGAGCCTGAACAGATTAATTGGAAGCCTGAGCAGTTTGAGCCTAGGCAAGTCTGCACTGTCAGGATCAGTGTTAACATGTGCTAGGTATGGCATCTTTGAATCACTGTCATCATAGATTTATGTTCCATTGTATCCAGGAATACGAAATTGTTGGCCTCATTTTTTATTTTGTTGCCATCTGTTTAACAGTTTTTATGCCATTTTAGTGCAGCTAATAAAAGAAGAATAGAAACAGTTGATATGGTATCCAGTAAACTGTTGTCAAGAGGTGAGAAAGAAAGTTAATCATCATCATCATCAAGTGCCTTGCTGACTGGCATGGGCGATCATGCCTCTCCAGAATCTGGGATCTTCAGCAGCATGTATCAGTTTGTGTAGAGACAATCATCCATGCCATGACAAAAACAACAAACTATAAAGAATTATCTTTTGTTGTCTTCTCTTATCTCTTTTTCCAGATCTTTCACATGTTCCAGTTTCCTTCTTCTCATAGCATAAACAAAAAAATGATGATGACTTTCTTTTTCTGAAGTTTGTCATAAGTTGTCATTGAGCCCTCACCTCTTTGAACACATCCGAGTTGCTCTTTTTGGCTGTACTGGGAATTCTAAGGATTCTACTGTAAAAGCACATGTCTGAGGCCTCAAGAAATTGTTTGACTTCTTTGTTGATTGTCCATGATTCACAGCCATGTTTTAAAACTACCTCTAGCATGCAAGGATTCTTTTCTTAACCTCCAATAACATGGATTTATTGCATTAAAGGTGCTTTGAGCCTGTCCTAATCTGCTCCTTGTCTTTGTGAAATATCTTCCGTCGGATGTTATCCTTGTGCTTGGACACTTAAATTTCTGTTCTTGTCCTAAAATAATGCTTTTGACTTTTATTGTACATTTAGACACTTTTTTTCTTGTGTTTTTGTTTGTTTGTTTTGTTTTCTTGACATTACCTTTACTGCTTTCTTCCCATTCTTCAAACTGAGGCTCATTTTGTCACTTTTCTGCCACCACCCTATCTATCAGTTTCTGTAGTTCTTTCTGATGGTGTCATCAGCATAATTCTTCCTCTTCCGCCTTTCCGACCCCCAATGGAGCATAGGCCCTCAACCAACTCACACCAAGTCATTCTATCCTTTGCTATTTCATGCAGCTCTCCCTATGTCTTCCCCCTTTTTTTAACTTCTCTCTAGCTTCTTTTTCTTTTCCCTTTCCTTTATTTCTATGCCTCTATGGGTTCCAGTGCAAAGACATTCTAGTTATATTGTTCTCCGGTTTTGTCAAAGTGTATCCTATCAAACGCCAGCACCTTTTTTTTCCTTATTGGTCAACTAGAACTTGCTTGGTTCTCTCCCAAAGCTCTACATTAGTGATTCTATCATACTATTCAATTCCCTCTATTTTGCGCAAGCACCAGTTAATGAATGTAGTTTATTAGTAATTGCCATAGTTGTTCTCCATGTTTCCGCTCCATACAACAGCTTTGGTTTTAAATTAGAATTAAAAATTTAAAATTTAATATTTCTTTTAATTTCAAATTTCTTTTGACCTCCACAAATTCCCTAGGGCTATGAAAGCTTCACTTGCCTTTTGTTTTTATATTTTAATACCTCTGTGACTTTTCCATGGTTGGTTGTTTTTTGTGGCTATCGCTTTTACAGGATGAGGTAGCCAACCCCAAACCTAACTCTTCCCTTAGTGACCTCTTACAACATGCCTAGTTCAGTACAATGTAGTTGTACATAATACCATTGTTGTGAGGTGAGAAAAAAAAAAGTTTTTAAGAGCTGAAAAGAGCCAGTTCCGATGCATGGAAGTAAATCAGTGACAAAAGATGTATCTGGCTTGTGTCAGAACTTGATACAATGATACATTCAAATGATCTTTCTTAATAGTATGTTACATTTAAAACTGGAAGATGACATTCTGCTTTTGTGACTCATTCAATGAATTATCAACATACGCCAATGTAATTTTTTTTTCTTTTTCTTATAGAGAATTTCATGGAACTGTAGGAAATATGAAAAACCTGAAGTCCAGATTACCCAAAAACCTGAAACTTCCACGGTTCAGGTTCGAAGCTAACGTTGATATCAACAAATACACACTGACCCCGCTAAAAACTGCAAAGACTGGTGGGAGAGGACCTGATGGTAAAAAGCTTTCAATAATGTCTTCTTCTTCTTCTCCTCATTCTCATCTCCTCCTCCTCCTCCTTCTTCTTCTTCTTATGCCCTTCATCCCTCCGGGGAATTTAGGCCTCTGACACTAAGCCTTTTTACATTTGTTCTTAGTTAGCATTTGTGGCTACAGATTTTTAAAGTTCCGTAGCCGAACCTATCCTGATATATGGAAGTGGTTCATGGAAAGTTAGAGGATAAGTGAAAAATTATTTAGAAGTGTTTGTGTATATCTTCTTTTTTTTTGTTTTTTTTTGTTCGGTTGTAAACCTCTACATAAAATTCTGGTTGTTCATCCATTTCTGGACTTTGATGCTGTTCCAGAACTTGAGTTTTGCGTGCACATATGTTTCACAAAACTTGCTTATTTGAATGCAGGCTGTTTCTGGCCTCTCAGGCAGATGCACTGCCACTTGAGAGGAAACATCACTGATTAGTTGCCTTGAACGACATCCGGGTTAGGGAGCAGTGGGTCTGTTCTTTCTGCCCCCAAAACCAGGTCCCTAGAACCCTCATGGGGAGTTGTGTATATGATGCTGTCCCTGTTGACCAGTGATGTCATCAGTATAACACAGGCCGCTTCTGCTTATGAATGTTCCTCTATGGCCAGAAGGCCAACATACTAGCTAACTGTGCTGTCTTCATTATCCTGCCCAGCCATTAGGCCTCACATAAGACTCGCAGTCTAATCCTCTGTTTCGTTCTATCCTGTGTAGTGCTTTCAATATCATAGATGGACGTCCTCGTTTCCACTGTCCATTTTTTCCTCATTTCAGTGCCTGTTTGTTCTGCTGTCTGCTTCTCATCATGGTAATCGTGCTGTCTCAGCATCCACATTTATGAGTCAGTTGGAAGTAAGACATTTGTAAGCAGTGATAAACTTGGTTTCCAACTGGTGTGCATTTGGAACAAAAAAGCCATTCCTTCCAGAAACAGATGAAACTGTTAAGAGAAACTAGCTGTAGAAATTTCAGATTTTGGAGGCACAAAAATTAGATGGAGCAGTGAAAATTGTTTGGGTCATAGAACATAGATATGAGCAGTGAAAAAGTTTTGGGTCATAGAACATAGATGTGAGCAGTGAAAACGTTTTGGGGCATAGAACATAGATATGAGCAGTGAAAACTTTTTGGGTCATAGAACATAGATGTGAGCAGTGAAAACGTTTTGGGGCATAGAACATAGATATGAGCAGTGAAAACTTTTTGGGTCATAGAACATAGATGTGAGCAGTGAAAACTTTTTGGGTCATAGAACATAGATGTGAGCAGTGAAAACTTTTTAAGGCACAGAACTTAGATGTGAGCAGTGAAAACTTTTTAAGGCACATAACTTAGATGTGAGCAGTGAAAACTTTTTAAGGCACATAACTTAGATGTGAGCAGTGAAAACTTTTTAAGACACAAAACTTAGATGTGAGCAGTGAAAACTTTTTGGGGCATAGAACTTAGATGTAAGCAGTGAAAACTTTTTAAGGCACATAACTTAGATGTGAGCAGTGAAAACTTTTTGGGGCATAGAACTTAGATGTAAGCAAAGGTATAAAACCGAAAGAAAAGTGTATCAGCAAGCATCCAATATAATGAACACAAGCAAAACATGAACGTTGCAGCTATAGAGCCTTCATCAGCCCATACATAAATAAAACAATACCACAACAATACACAAAATTAGATGTAAGCAGTGAAGATTGGTGGGGCATAGTAATAAGATCGAAAAATAAACTTGAAAACTTGGTGACAGCTGGCAAACATTATGAGAAAATTACAAGGAGAAGGCAAAGAGATAAATACTGATGCCTAAATGGTTAAGGTGAGCCTGTTGAATGCCTACACTCTAGTGGAAATAAACATCAGAAGATGATTGCAGACCATTTTGAAGGGCAAGAGTAAACCAATGACTAACTTAATGTTAGTTTTTGTGTTGAGGTTCAATCCTTACTACAGACATGTCTCCCATAATTGGTCCATTCCTGTGCCAGTGGAAATGACATGAAATGTACCCCACTGTCCCATTTGAAAACTAGAGAAAAACTTATCTGTCTCAGAAAAATCTTGAAGCTTACACATGCAAAGAAAAAATGCATAAGGCAGCTGTTAGATGTGCCAACACTAATCGCCCCACACCAGAATTGAAGCTCACTGTTGATGCAAACTATGGACAATTATAATATAAACAGTTGTGTATTCTTTACAGTAGAGGTCTCTTTGCAGTGGATATTAGCATCCACTAGTCTTTGAGAAATATTAAGTTAGTGGTTCTCAACCGGTGGGTCGCGACCTTTTTGGGGTTGAACGACCCTTTCACTTGGGTCAACTAAGACCATCGGAAAAGACATATTAACTGAAGTTATGAAGTAGCAACGAAAATAATTGTATGTTTGGTTGGTCACCACAACATGAGAAACTGTTTTAAAGTAGCATTAGAAAGGTTGAAAATTACTGTATTAATTAGTGAGGCCCTAAATATCCTCCATAATGTGACTCTTACTGTTTTGTTTGTAAGCTATGAGAACAGACTTTTCTAAACTACCTATTGTTGAAATCAAATTGTAGTTTGTCGAGGATGATGACATTTATTTTGTTAGCTAAGCCACAAAGCCACATTATTTTGGGATGTGTACATTTTGTGTTTGTCTTACCAGGCAGAATTTGGCAGCACCGAGTTGGTGGTGGGGACAAAGTACTTTTCAGAATGATCGACACAAAGAGGATTGGGCCAAAAACAGGAGAGCCTTTAATCGAGAGAGTCTATGATGTCCTGAAAGATGATATTCATACAGGTCATATTGCAGTGGTCGCCGGCGGCAACAGAAAGAGATACATTCTGGCATCTGAGAACATGAAGCCTGGAGATCTAATCATGACCTCTGGCAAGCTGACAGACAGGCCAGGTAATAGTTGTCTGAGCATTTGTAAGGGGAGGAGCTTGTGGGGGCAACTTTGACTGTGGCACCTTATGATCAGTTTGTTTCGGCTTAGTTGGTGTTAGTTTTTAGTAAAGTTTAGAAGCCAGACAAAAGCACTAGGCTTTTGTGACCAAAAAATAATTAATAATAAAGAAACGCACAACTGGTGTGATCGGCTGCTTCCTGCTGGTCTGAGTCTGTTTGATCTAGATCAGGTTAGCATCCCTAGACCAGGTTAGCATCCCTAGATCAGGTGAGCATCCCCAGACCAGGTTAGCATCCCTAGATCAGGTTAGCATCCCCAGACCAGGTAAGCATCCCTAGACCAGGTGAGCATCCCTAGACCAGGTTAGCATCCCTAGACCAGATTAGCATCCCCAGACCAAAGACTCAGCTGGAGAAATTGGAACGCTCACAGAATAAAGCTATGTGAACCATTCTGGGATGCACAAGGGGCACGCCTGTTGTGTGTATGAAACATATCTTGACTGTGCCGACCACTGCTGATAGACATAGTGGTATACTGCAGGCTGAGTAGCATTTTAGTAGAGTGGCAGTGAACACACCCTGTGCTGCATAGGGACACTGTGAAGGGGGACTAAAGAGGGCCAGAACCTGGATGGTCCAGGCTGAAAATACACCTGTGTCTGGAACATTAAAGAGAAGAAGAATGGGTAAAGGTACCAGAGGGCAGAGAAGAGCTGCACAAAGTGGTGATTACCTTGGTTTGAGAATGCAGGGAAAGGGAGGCAGGACGTACAGAGGCAGAGGTTCAACAGCTGATAGAGTTCAACTCTAGTCCAGGAGGTGTAATTATATACACTGATGGGTCAGTGAGCAGGGGCAGAAAAAGTGGATGGGGCTTCTTCACAAAGTATGGGGGTGGGGGGGAAAGGATGTCGGAGGAGAGCTTGGCATATGATATTACCACATCCACGCATGGGAATTAAGGTTGAGCAACTGTGATGTTTTGATGGGTGGAAAAATATCTCAGCCAAACATATCATAGTATTGTATTTGCAAAGCATACTCAGGAAGGTGGAGTCAGGTTTTCTTTATATGAAATGGGTTACATCAGTCCGGAGGTCGCTTGGGGGGGGGGGGGGGGGGGGTGTCGATTTTTTGCCTGGGCTATATTCAGGCGTGTTAGAGAATGAGCAGCCAGATAGGCTGGCTGGACTATCCCCACTTGGAGTTGTACTGCACAAGTCAGAGGTGATCTCTCGCCTTTGGGACAGGGTAGCAGGTGAAATAGAAAATATTGAAAAGCCTTAACTGAAGAGAATGATACAGTGAGGAGTGGTTGTGGGCTGTGGGCACCACTCGAGACTCAGCGGAAGGCAAGACGAGCAGTTCACCAGATGACAACAGGCACCATCAGTAAGGAAACTCTTTTCTGGCTGTTGAGGAGTGAGGCGGAGCTAATGTGGGCTTGTCCTGAATGCTGAGATCTCAAATCTTTACCCGGATGAACCTGCTGGTTGATATACTAAGGAGGGGATTTGAGCAGTTACAGACTCAGTGGTTTGATGTGTTGTCATGTAAATGAACTGTCGAGGTAAGAGTGAGAATCATCATAATGAAGGTAGCCTTTTTCATATTGGAAAAAATATAAATAAAATTGAATAAGAAAAAAGAAAAGCTGCAACCAAGAAAAGTAGATGTCTGAGAAGGGCTGCAGGAGTGACTTGTAGAGATAAAATCAAGAATGAAGTCATAATATAAAAAATCGGCACAGAACCAGTTCCGAATTACATACAGCAGATCAAGTGGTTTGCCCACTTAGAGAGATTCTTTATGATGCCATACCATATAAATAAACAGTGCTTCTATTTTTCTGCTTCTTTCTTTGAGTGTCAATCAATACATTGTCTGTGTATTATATTCATAACATATGAGGTAAACACCCACACAAAAAAACACCCAGGTGTACATGGTTTGTCCTGAAAGTAATGGGACAAGCGCTGTAGTTTTGCGCCTGCGCTGGAGATGGGAAAATCTGTGGTGTGGTGAGGGGTGTTAGCTATGTGTTGCAAATCAGTCCCAGTTGTCAACAAGCAGTTGGAGCGTCATATCGTGGAAGTAGTGAATCCCCGTACAAGTGAAGTGTCGTGAAAGAATGGAACCTTGCATTTAACAGTGTCATGCAATGATTTGCTCATGTGGGACTTCTTCGGATGGTGTGATCCTATCTTGTTTTGGTCTCCGGATTGTACTCAAACATCCAGGAATCGTCTCCTGTGATCACCATCTGCAGAAAGTTTGACTGTGCTGCCATACGCTCCAACAATTCTTGCAAAATTGTCACACTGTCTGCTTTGTTTTGGTCTGTTAGCACTTTTGGCAACAACTTGGCACACACTTTTCACATGCCTAATTCTTGTGTTTAAAGTTTTGGGCAAGTTTAGTTCCTCCGTGATTAATCGCACACTCTTTCATTGATCACTGTTTAAACTGCCCCACACACGGTTCGCGTTTTTCTTCGTTTTGGCGGTGAAAGCTCTACCCACCCATTTCTTGTCCTCAGCATCTTATCTCCCCTTCTTGAAGGTCTTTTGCCAGTTAGACACCATCGGTTGACTTAAACACTCATTGCTGTATGCTATCTTTAACATTTCCAACATCTATGTCCCAGATTTTCAGTTTAATGCAAAATTTAATTGCGTAATGCTGTTCGATAGAATGTTGCATTTTTTTCATGACACGTCACTCGTACGGGCACTCACTACTTCCACGATCCGCAAGGTCCAACTGCTTTTTGACAACTGGGACTAGTTGTAATGCATAGCTTAACCCTGGCACCAAGCCACAGATTTCTCCACCCACTGCGCATGAGTGAAACTACAGCGCTTATCCAGTTGCTTTCAGGAGAAACCCAGTATAGCACAAGGTAGAAGAACAAGATGGAAAGATAACATCAGAGAAAATCTACTTCAGTACAATGTGTATCTGGTAGACAGTCAGAAGATCAAGAAATAGAAGTTTATATCTCCACTGACACCCAAAGTGGTAAAAGAGGATGTCAAGAATAAGAACATATGTATCTGCAACAGTATGTAACTAGATTAGTCAGTAAGTCATAGTTTTCTCTATCGTGAAGGTTGGCTGACAGTTTAAATGTTAAAATTGTGTGTGCCTTCTCCACGGTGAAGGTTGGCTGCAGTGTACCGACTGCTGTTTTTGGGAATACTGTGTGATGAAGTGGCAATCTTTTTGATGGAATGACTCTCACACCAATACATGAAAGCTACAAGAAAGGTCCTTTAAAAAAAAAGTTTGCCATGGGAATTGAACTCTAGTATGTAAAGGATCATGACTATTAAATGCCTAAAACTTATGAAAAAATTAACTAATCTAGGACTAAAAAAACAAGTCTGTGCATGCTGTGCTGAATCCAAACCAAACCTAATATTAGCTAGTTAGTTAGTCTTTCCTCTTGTGTCGAGTGCGGCACATAGGGCAGAGGTCATGACTCTCCATGTATGGCGGTTCGTTGCAATCTGTTGTAGGTCTTGGATTTTTGAGTGGCCCATTAGTGAGCCTTCCCTGATGATAGTTCTACGTAGGGTTTCCCTTGGTCTTCCACGAGATCTTTTCCCCTGTGGTGTAGAATTGTTGTAGAATCAGATTTCTGGCTCTAAAACCTAATATGCCTTTCCATAAATGTGAACTTCCACAACCAGTCTTGAACAGCTCACCAGTTTCTGAGCTCAGGGAAGAGAAAGAGATCCAGTATCATTGAAGATGTTACTTCTGTAGCTGGTCAGGAAAACTCTTCACCATTGGGTCTAAAGTAGCTTTTTTTTTTTTTAAGTATCCAGAAACTATGAGTTCTTTACCCTTTGGCTCAGTACTATGGATATCGCAACGCTTCGGCCTCAATTCTATGATAAATACCGTAAATCTGGGAGAAATGTGGCTTTTCTGCCTACCCCCGGACGTGAACCTGGACCACACGGAGTTCGTCACCTGGTCATCGCGAAGTCAGGTTTAGCTAACTAAGCTAGCGAGTCGGGCATCTAAAGTAGCTAAGACCCACCTTGTATCCGAAGGTCTGCCATGAATACCAGACTTTTTAACAGTTGCACTGAAGAACTTATTAGAATTTAGAAAAATTAGAACCACAAAAAGGACTGCATTCTAAAAATGGCGGTTTTTCGTTTGGTAAATCTCCCCCTTCTTCTGTTTTTTCTTTGTGTTCACAGGCTGCAAACTGTAGTGAAGAGTCCTGATTGTTTGTTCACTTCTGAACTTTAATTCTGATTCCAGAACTTTGAGTTTTGCATGTACATCCATTTTACAGATCATGTTTACTTGTAGTGTATGCAGACTGTTGATTCCTTGCCTCTAAGGCTTCGAACTCCAAGGAAGAATCACAAATTAGTTGCCCTTTACAACATGTTTTTTTAGATCTATCTCCACCCCCCCCCCCCCCCCCCCCTCCTCCCGCCACTGAACCCAAACAGGGGGTTTGATAAATAATATCACACTGACCTAATATTTGTTCCACTGACCACCAAATAAGAAGGACTGTTCTACAGGGACTTTACCCTGCTTAGACAGCCTGAAAGCCAATGCATAAGACCTCATGAGGTAAAACTGTTTTAGAGGATCAACTAACCAACCAGTCAGCTGAGATGGTTTCTCACACACTCTAGTGCACATTAAAAAAATAAAAACCATATCAGTGTTTGCCAGATATAAAAAAAAATGTCAGTCAATCAATCATTAAACCAAATAATCAACACCCCCCCCCCCCCACCCACCCACACACACACACAAACCAGGCAGTAAATTAAATAGTTAATAAATTATTAGATCAATGAGTTAATTAGCTTTTTTCAGTCAGTCAGTAATTCATTTGAAAATCAGTCAGTCAGTCAGGCAACAGCCAAACCCTAGATATGTTCATTTCCATTCATTGTTTAAATTCATAACTTCTTTTTTTGTCCGCAGTGCTGGCAAAAGAAGGTGACGCCTACCCTATTGGATCGCTTCCCCTGGGAACAGTTGTCCACAACGTCGAGCGTCTTCCAGAGCAAGGTGGCTGTGTTGCCCGGGCAGGGGGTTGTTCGGGCATGTATATGCGCAAAATAGGAGACCAGTGCGTCGTCCGCATGCCATCCAAACGAGAGATGATTATATCCCAGGAGTGCATGGTCACTGTTGGGCGAGTTTCAAATCCAGACCATACCAAGATTAAAATGACAAAAGCGGGGCAGAACAGGTGGAAGGGAATAAGGCCGAAGAGTGGCTTGTGGCAGCGGAAAACCGGTTATCATGGTCGTAAGATCCATCCAATTAAACCAGCAGTTGTTTATAGGGGGGCCCTTAGTGAAAAACCTGAAGTGTTTCCATTTACTGTGTGATGAGTTACTATAGAAATGATTGTACTTTTATTATAAGCATACTGTATAACTGCGGCAATGATTGTGTGGATATAATTAGTGTACTGTATAACTGCAGTAATGATTGTATGTTATAGTTAAGTTAACTGTATAACTGCAGCAGTGATTGTATGTTCTAGTTATTGTACTGTATAACTGCGGCAATTGTTGTATGGTTATAATTAGTGTACTGTATAACTGCAGCAATGATTGTAGGGTATAGTTATTGTACTGTATAACTCCAGCAATGAATATATGGTTATAATTAGTGTACTATATAACTGCAGCAATGATTGTATGTTCTAGTTATTGTACTGTATAACTGCAGTTATGATTGGATAGCTTTAATTTGTACTAACTGCAGTAGTGATACTGAAGAAGATTAAAGTTATGTCTGCTGTTTGATACTGCATTGTTTTTCTGTTTGTCCTTAATTAATGAAGTAAAATCTACTTTTAAAGTTTAAAAAAAAAAAAAAATCTCTTTCAAACCTTTTTTGTTGTTGCAAAAAAAAAAAAAAGAGTTTTTATAGTGCTTGAGTTTTGTGTGCACAGCCATTTTACAGATGGGGCTTGTTTGAATGCAGAATGTTTGTCCCTGCCTCGCAGGCAGATGCACTCCAGCTTTAAAGGAAACTCCCTTCATTTGTCTACTTTTATGACATGCTTGTTAAAGGTCAGTGGGTCTATTCTTTGTTTTTCTCACAATGTAGCTTTGGAGTCCAGTGGGGAAATTGGTATTTTCAAACCATAGACTTTTGGGACGGCAGGCAAGCATCTAGCCATTACGCCATCACAGCTGTCAATGAAAGCAAAGCCACAATAATAACAATGCCATAATAATGACAATGCTAACACCACAGTAATAACAATGCCATAATAATGACAATGCTAACACCACAGTAATAACAATGCCAAAATAATGACATTGTTAACAGCACAATAATAAGAATGCCAGAATAATGACAATGTTAACACCACAATAATAACAATGCCAAAATAATGACAATGTTAACACCACAATAATAACAAGGCCAGAATAATGACAATGTTAACACCACAATAATAACAATGCCAAAATAATGACAATGTTAACACCACAATAATAACAAGGCCAGAATAATGACAATGTTAACACCACAATAATAACAATGCCAAAATAATGACAATGTTAACATCACAATAATAACAAGGCCAGAATAATGACCATGCTAACACCACAATAATAACAGTGCTGGAATAATGACAATGTTAACACCACAAAAATAAAAAAAATTAGCAGAAAAGACAAAATGTGCAAAAAAGTTGACATTGAAAAAAATACTAGAAAAAAGTATGTCCACTGGACACTGTAAACAACATTTGAGTCTGCTTTTCACAAACCCGAGTACGGTATTTTATTAACAAACTAATCAAAACGCACAATCCTATAACTATGCGTTTCTTTTCTTTTTTTGGAACAGCGGGTGGGTGTGTGTGTGTGGGTGGGTGTGTGTGTGTGTATAAATTGCTGACAACATTGTACTTCCTTGCATCGAATATGCTCTATCCATCCTCACTGTCAGCCATACTCAAACTGAAAGACTTGAGAAGGTGCAAAATGAAGAAATGCGCATTATTTTGGGGTGCACTGGAGACACCTCCTGTGTAGCAATAAGATACCTTCTTGACTTCCCTACCATGAACTACAGGATCAAGATCTGGAGGGCTCGTTCATACCTCAAGATAAGCTCAGATCTGAAGCACCCTTTGCACCACATGCTCTTCAAGAAAAAGGACAATATGCTTGAAAGGGACAAATCATGGCTCGGTAGGGCAGATTATGACATCATGCAGGTTTGCAGCCTTACAGATATCCATCTACGTGAGGAATTAATTCCAGCGACTAAAGCGCCCAATCGCACATTATTCTGTGTTGTGACGCTCGATAGGAGTTGTCGGAAGCAGAAGGTATGCGCGCTTATAAGTGACAAGTCAGATGTGACGATCTTCACAGACGGGTCCGTTTTACGATGACATGAGAGAATGGTCGTAGACCACAACGCAGACCAAAAGGACGATGGAGATAAATATCCAGACAGACCTGCAAACCTGCAGACCTGTGTGACCAACTGGAAAGAGAAGGCCAACCAGAGAGATGAATAAAGGCGGGTGATATTTGCAGCAATGAACCTCAAGGAACCTCTTGGACAAAGAAGAGAAGAAATATTGAAGTCTTAAAAGATCTGAACATCAAGGAAGATTGGCTAATAAACAGCATCGTTTCTCGGAAGCTGAAATATTTTGTCATATCAAGCGCCACAACGGATTGGAAAAAATTATAGCAGAAGGCATGGTGCCAGGAAGGAGGAGCAGGGGCCAACCGACACGAAGATGGGCACAGGATATAAGTAACTCCTTGAGTTTGAAAGTACATAAGGCGGGAGAACTGGTGAAAGATATAGTTTCCTTCAGACAGACTGTGATGAGAGCGACGTTCTGCAAAGGACCTGCTACATGATGATGATGAACCTCAAGGGCTCGGAATGTTGAAGAAGAAGTGTTAACTTATTTAGTAAACGATGCGGCACTGATTGTGAACGCAGTACCACCTGTAATCGCCTTCACTGTGTGTAACATGCTAGCAAGCATTTAATCCATCTTCTTTAGCCGTGTGACACAGCAGCTTCGCAGCCAGAGACATGATTGTTGTAAGAGAGGCGGTGACACAGACGACCCCTGTACCGGTCCAGCTTGACCCCGAACTGCGAAAGCAAGTAGAATGGTTCCTGCAGCGGATGATGCAAAGTTTTTCCAAGAGGGTTGGCGAAACAGTTAGGTCAGTGTCCAGTCGGGGGATCGTGTCTATATTGTGTGGCGTTTGCCGTCTTGTCCGACACAGATATTAGGGTCTTGTTCGGAAAGCGCACGCCCCTCTAAAATTCGTGGTTTCTTGGTTTTTGTTTTTGCTTGTGATTACTTTGCTGTTTTTTTTTTAAAAACTGCAACATCTTGGTCAAAATCAGGCCAACTACCTTTACTTCTCAGGAATTCTCTAACGACTGGGTCGACCTTTCGGCCAAGGTAAATTAAAAAAAAAAAAAAAAAAAAGAATCTGCTTTCTGTGTCCAATATTTTGTTACGTTTTCCATTAAACGTCCGAATCTATGTTTCGATATCTTGCTTCCTTTAGGATATCCACTGTGTCTCTCATCTTCAAGGCTGAAATTTCAAAGAACTGTTGAGATCCAGTTACTGAGGCCCACACTAGTATTGTCGATAGCCTGTGGTGCTTGGCCAAAAGAAGATACACTGTAGAACGTGGAGCATCAAGAGTCCGTTTAGACCCAAATCTGTGTGAATGTATATAGAGCCAACGATATGCTGGGGAAGACTTATTCGAGTAAATAATGATGGACATTACTATGTCGAATCCTCTGTAATATAGTTTTCAGTTTAGTTTTGCACTATTAGTTGTCAGTTTATTTCTGTACTATATAGTTTGGAGTCGGCTCTGTGGCTAAGTCGATGCGAACGCTTCGTAATGCCGGGGTGCCGGGTTAGATCCCAGCTGCGGGCCATACGCCGTGCGTTGGTTTCGACAGTGGTATCAGGGAGCTGACCGTCCAGGAAGCAATGGCAAACTACTGGACGTAAATTTGCCTAGAGAAACCACACAACAGCCAGGGGCTGCTGGGGTTGGTTCTGCAACGTCCTGTAAAGGATACGCAACTAACCATAAATAGTTTGGCAATTAAATGCGGAGACGGATATAATTATTATGACCAAGACAAAAACACCATCCACGAAGCACAGCATGTCATCCAAACGGGCACCATTCACCCATGATTTGACCAAATTGTAACACCACCCAGTCAGTAGACGACGAGATTTAGTTCGACTTTAGTCTCCCCCAAAATAGGTCAGTTTTAATAAACAACTTTGTTGGACTGGTCCACTTTCATTGAGGTTACGGGTGTGTTACGCTCTCTTGTTTGGTTTCTGCGATGTCTTGCATTAACGTTTTCATTCCGAGAAAGAGAATTCCTTTGACATAGATTGCAGCACTTTCTAGGTGGGTTGTGTTAGACGCAGTTTGTCCATGTTTTTGTAGTGTTAAAAGCGCTGGTGAACTGAAATATGCAACATGCGATATCAACGGAATTGCGGAACACCCCCGTAGCAGTGTGAGAAGGCCGGGCAGCTTAGGAACTACCAATCAGAAGTGAGCTAGTGTGTTTATGGGTGGGCTCTTGGGTGGGGGGGGGGGAGTCAAAGGTGGGGTTTTGCAATGACTCAATCCAGTTTCTGCGTACTGAACCCTTCGGATCATGCTCTTAGAATCACTGAGCACATAACCGTTGGAATACCAGGATCCGGACTGTCAGTCCAAAACCTGTCGCCAACAGAAGAAGAAATGTCCAACGATTATTCCCTTGCGTGTCGTCTGATAGATCTATTCCAAAGCCGCAGATTTATTTCAGCATTTTGATTTTGATCCAGTTTAATTTGTGGACATGCCCTTACCGTGTCCGTGGTGGATTCCTTGCCAGGGGCGATGCTGTCATGGTTTCTCAACGACGACCCTCTAGAGATGGATCCCAGGTTTGTGAAGTGTAACTCTCTTACCCTGGTTGTCCAGTAGGGCTGGAACATTCATGACAAACCTGGAGATGGCTTATACGATCACAGGCTTTCTTCTACTTCTCCTCCCCTCCTGTTTTCCTCTTCTCCCCCTTCTCCCTCTCCTCTTCATCTTCCGCCACCGCCTTCTTTTTCTTTTTTTCTTCTTCTTCTTCTTTTGCTACATGTTATTCCCTATTGCAAAACGGACATTGAGCCAGCTTAAACAAAGTGGTCCTATCTGTGATCTGCCTAATCTGCATGATCTCCGTCTCAATAAATAATGTGTATCCTGGTTTCTAGTTCAGTATAGCAAAATCATAGGTATCCTTAATTGGTATTATTATTATTTTTATTTTTACTGTAGCCGATTGTGTATCCTCAACTGCCTAATTTTGTCATTGTAGTTTATCCAGTGTGTTCTACCTTACTATAACCCAGTACACGGTATCATTGCAATGACTCTGTTCTTTATTCACTTTGGCTCCAGTCACTTGCAGACTTCTCATTCATGCACCGACAGTCAAACCACGGGTGAAAAGTGGACGACAGTGAACGACACAATGCGGTTTCACTCTTTGTTATCCACTGGCTGTTTCTTCAGCCGGTACATGGTGAGGTACATGTCTAGTTACTTATATCTGCGATCAATTAACTAGTATCAACTTTACCTTTACTGATGGAAAATACAAAACGACCATTACACAACAGCAATTGAACCAAAACACCTGTTCTCCACGTCGGCGAACACACACAATCATCTGCCAGCCAGTTTCCCTCAGTCCTTGCTGCTGGCTAAGTAGGCGTTAGAAACTTTACAAATACATCAGACTGATACTTCTCCGCTCTCCATGTATACAATTTCCTGGCCCAGACGAAACTGCCCACATGCTTTTTCTAAGGCATTTTATAATCTTCTGCCGCCCACCTTATAATTACGCCATAATACGACTTTTTCGTGTCCTCCCATTCACACGGGTTTCATTTGGTCAGCATTTTCACCGTGCATCTCGGCTTTGTACTCGTTACATTAAAATATCTCACTGATATTTATTACCTGACGTCATTCTTTCTGTAACATAACTTATCAAGGAGATAATGGTTCATGAATTGGTTTTGTTCAATATATCCGAATCCGGCATATCGTGGATTACTTTTGTTTGTTTAATGTCTCTGAACCCCAGTGTATCCTTGACTAATTCTTGTAAAAAGTGTTTTTGGAAAACAGTGTATCATGGATTGTTTGTTGTTCAGTATATAAAATTCCCTTGTGTCATGGATTGTTTGTTATTCCGTACATAAAATTCCATTCTGTCATAAATTGTTTGTTGTTCGGTTTATCCCAACACTGTAGCCGTGTCCTGTACAACAAAGGGAACATTGATATCACCGACCTAACCCCAGTGGACACAGGAGTCTACACGTGCCAGGTAGAGTGGGGACCTGAGAAGGCGAGGGACAATATCACGGTTGGAGTTTACAGTTTGGTGGTAAATGTTCACATCTACATCATCATCAGTTCACGCCACGTGGCGCTTGGTCATCATGTTTTGTGTTTGGTCGGTCATTTGTTAGACATATGTTCTTCTTCCATCATCATCCTTCTATCATCATCATCCGTTGTACCTCACACAGGGCTCGCAGTTTAGCACCCCCTTCCCCATACTTTACCCACACCCCGTATTCCGTTCAAACCATTGCACTTCTTTTGTCACCATGCATGCAGTCCAGTCCAGCATCTTTGGCCTCTCTCGTCAACGTTCTTCTTAGAGTTTGTCTTGACGTTCTCATTTCCTAAATCCATTTGTTTCCAGTTTCATTATATGTCGGGTGATTCTCAGTCCACGTCTCTCCATGATGCACCCAATATATTTTCCATCTTCTTGTTCTTGTAACTGTTGATACAAGCGTTTGTCCGGTGACTGTTCTTCCATGCCATTACACACAACTTGTCTAAAATCCTATCTTTTGCTTCTAGCCTGCCCCTGTTTGAATTTACCTTTAACCACGACATGCTTTCAACAGCATGAGAAGAGCATGTGGATTGTAACCTTTTGGTAACTAGTTTTTCTCTGTTACATACTCTTCGGTAGAAATACTGTCATTATGTTGATTTTTTAACAGTCTGTTAAGAGTGGTGTCACAATTCTTTCATAAAATTACCATAAAATGTGATTATGCCTGCGCATAATGTATGGCTTATCGGTTGATCTTCTACGATTCACTTTCGTAATACTTTAATTGTTGGCGTTTGTGGCTTAGGCGTTGCGAACGATCTTCGTAATGCCGGGGTGCCAGGTTCGACACCAGCTGCGGGCCTTGCGTCTTGCATTGTTTTCAACAGTGGTATCGAGAAGCCGACCGTACAGAAAGCAATGGCAAACTAATGGACGTAAATTTGCCAAGAAAAAACACAAAATGCTGGGGTTGGTTCTTCAACGTCCTGTAAAGGATACGCTACTAAATTAAAATACTTCAACTGTTGTCCTTGTCGACACCAAAGCACGTTGGTCCGACCCATTCGTGCTGCGTCGATCCCCGTCTGTAGAGCCCAGTGCATTCAGTATGTCTATATTCTACAGACTTCTTTCTCCACAGCCACTGAAGACACGCCCCGAGTGTCGGCTCTTTTATTTCCTGTCAACAGGACATACATCAGGATAGACAGACCCTTCACACGTCTTTGGCGCTTCAGGCATATCCTGCAATCGGCACTCGATGGTCTCACCGGCTGCATTTACTTCCCATAACATTACTTTGACCCATTTTCTGCAGGGTCGACTTACAAACCTTGGCCTGTTTAAGGAAGACGCGAATGTGAACAGAAGACCTTGGTAATGACATGCCGGTCTGCCGAGGCTGCTCCCATAAGCAGAAACAGAGAAGAGACCAGTTAGGCAACTAAATAACAGTCTTTGGGTTCGGCAACTTAGTAACAAACTTTGGGTTAGGCAACTACGTAACAGCCTTTGGGTTAGGCAACTAAGTTATAGTCTTTGGGTTAGGCCACTAAGTAACAAACTTTGGGTTAGGCAACTAAGTAACAGCCGTTGGGTTAGGCAACTAAGTAATAGTCTTTGGGTTAGGCAACTAAGTAACAGTCCTTGGGTTAGACAACTAAGTGATAGTCTTTGGGTTAGGCAACTAAGCAACAGTCTTTGGGTTAGGCAACTAAGTAATAGTCTTTGGGTTAGGCAACTAAGCAACAGTCTTTGGGTTAGGCATCTAAGTAACAGCCTTTAGGTTAGGCAATTAAGTAACCGTCTTTGGGTTAGGCAACTAAGTAATAGTCTTTGGGTTAGGCAACTAAGTAATAGTCTTTGGGTTAGGCAACTAAGTAATAGTCTTTGGGTTAGGCCACTAAGTAACAGTCTTTGGGTTAGGCAACTAAGTAATAGTCTTTGGGTTAGGCCACTAAGCAACAGTCTTTGGGTTAGGCAACTAAGGAACAGTCTTTGGGTTAGGCAACTAAGTAATAGTCTTTGGGTTAGGCAACTAAGTAACAGTCTTTGGGTTAGGCAACTTAGTAATAGTCTTTGGGTTAGGCAACTAAGTAACAGTCTTTGGGTTAGGAAACTAAGAAATAGTCTTTGGGTTAGGCAACTAAGTAACAGTCATTGGACTAAATAAATAATATGATCATGACAATCGTTCTTGTGACCGCCTTCCCAGTTTACATTGACACATGGGCTGTTTAGGCCTATGAAGCTTCAAGTATGGCGTTGACACACTGGGCCAGTATTTCCTTTTGAATAAGCTGAACAAGGGAAAGGCTTGTATGACACGTTCTATGGTCTGTACGCCCAGCCACGACGGGGTCAGCTGGAGCCGGTTGTTGCCCAGCCCACATAGGCACTTTTCAGGCACATCCTGTGCATGTGCTTGCCAAGTTTGTTATGAACCGAGGCGTCGAATCTTCTTCTTGGCGTTCACAGACTGTCAACTGTCGTTGTTGATCTGACCCCAGAACTTGTGTTTTATAGACCTGACCTGTGCGAACTGTTGCTTCATCGCCTTTCAGGTAGATGCACCCAAACTTCGAAAGAAACAAACTCTAAATAGTTGAGTCTTAGAACGTGCTTGCAGAAAATGGGGTGGGGGCAGTGGGTATATTTACATTGGGGCACTAAAACCCCTAAAGGGATGGCATAGAATGATGCCACGTTCATGCCGGTCAAGTAAGCTATGATATAAATGATGCGAATGAGGTCATACCAAGTACACGGTTCTATACAGGTGACCGCCGACAACCCAACAAGGTACGTGTTCGAATCTGACGGCATGCAGCTGTTCAGCAACAGCGTCCCTCTGGGGGAGCTGTTCCCAGCAGCCACCCGACAGTGGTTGTACAACAACACAAACGGGACAAGCCTAATGCCAACACTTGCCAGCAACATCAGCGTCGACGTGGTGCCTCGGGTGGACAAGTCCATGGCCGGAGTGTGGACGTGTCGAGTCGATGATCTGGCCACCATGCGGAACTGGACAACTGCATGGTAGGGGCAGTTGTATGTGGCAGTCTTCTCTTTCATCATCATCAACATCATCATCATTTTAAGTTGCTGCTCGTCTTGCATCTCCTCAGCTTCCTCTTTTCTTCGGTATCAAGATGGTGATCCAACAAAAACGACGCTCAGCGGGGTCAATATAACCTATCTCCGTGTGGGTTCCGGGGACTTGTTAAAGGGAAAACAAGAATACACCCGCTGCGTACCCAAAAGCATGTCGTAAGAGTCGACTAATTGGGAGCTTCCTTTAAAGTCGGAGTGCATATGCCTGAGAGGCAAGGAACCAAAAGTTTGCATTCGACTGAGTCAGATCTGTAACACGTATGCACACGCAACACTAAGGATCTGGAACAGGTCCAGTAGTGGATGAACAACCAGAACTTTCCGCCAGAGTTTACAGCTGGTGAACGCGAAGAAGAAGAAGAGGAATATAATCTTATAGACACTCTACAGTTTCAACATAATCTCATCGACACTCAGCGGAGTCAATATAATCGCATAAACACTCAACGGAGTCAATATAAACTCAGGGACACTCAACATTCTCAACATAATCTCAACGACACTCAACAGAGTTTAATCTTAGACAGGTTTAAAATGTGTAATCCTTTTAAATATAGGACCAATAGAGATATTTTGTCATTTAATTTTTATTGCAAGAGATAATACAGATGTGTTGGCAAAAGAATAAAGTATAATTCCTTTAGTCCTCTCAACAGCTGTAAGTTTTATCTGTATGTCTGTATGTATAAAAAGAAAATTACGTTTTTATGATGTATTTAAAAAAAAATTGCATTTGTGAAAAGAAACAAGGAATGCTTTGAAGTTTCTTCAGACTATGAGACCAATAAACTGTTGCTTTTTAAGCGTATTCCTAAACCAAACACTGATTACTGGTATAAAGTCCATGTAAGATGTTTGTACTACCCATGTTTGTACTATCCATGTTTGTTGTTTCAGCGCATGATCTTACCACACCTCTTTGTTTCTTGTGTCCGAGCCAGTAGCGCTGCAATAGAAAATACTTTCTCGTTTCAGGTTTCGCCTCGGAGTTCAAGACGCGCCATCATTTATAGCCAGGACATACCGTGTATTGTCTGACCACGTATATGTAGTGATAGTTGTATCCTCCATTGTAGTAGTTCTGCTGTGTATCTTTTTCATCTATGGTGTCCGCTTAATGAAGCAGAAGGAGGATGAAACCGACGAGGAGTTTCTCAAAACTCGCAACGGATGGGAGGAGAAATTCTCCACTTTTGGCGCTGGAGGTAAGGTGAAAGTCAGTGAAGCGGACCTGCCTCCAAAGAAACCGGATGAAGAGGAAGGCGAAGCAACAAAAGTGCCAGAAGGGAAGCGGTTGGATACTGACATAAGCAGTGCAGAGGATACCGAAGGCAAGGGGATTGAAGAGGACGGTAAAGTTAACTTACTGAGCGAAGCGGAACAAAACAAGGAGGACAGAGACATTGTTCCGAGTAAAGATATCGATAAGGGTGAAGAATTTGACGAAGGCAAAGAATTTGATGAGAAAAAAGTGGAAGATATTAGCGACAGTGAGACCGATATTGGTAACCAAGAGGTCATTGTTGACATAGAGGCTGACGTTGGTGATAGAGAGACTCATGTTAGAAGTAAAGAGACAGATAATGGTGATAGAGAAGCTCATGTTGGTGATAGACAGGCTGATGATGGTGATAGAGAGGCTCATGTTGGTGATAGACAGGCTGATGATGGTGATAGAGAGGCTCATGTTGGTGATGGGGAGGATGGTGGAGACGAAAGCGACACTAATAAAAGTGCTACGCTGTCACGGAAGAAATCTGGAAGAAGAAAGCATACAGTCAAATGGCAAAGTAAAGATAAAAGAAGAAACGCTGGATTGACAGGCAATGATGAAAATATATCAAATGTCCAAAGACATGCCATCCCCGGAGACAGGATGACAATAAGAATGTCCGAAAGGCCGGAACGCCGTAAGCGTAAGGATGGCAAAAGGAAGAAGCACAAAGGGAACATAATCTATCCAGAAGTGAGTAAAGACAGTGCCCTCAATTGGCTGTTGCAGAATTCGCCCCAGTTAAGAAAGTATAAATCGGTCCTACAGGATACAGGCAACAGAACGCCCGCAGTTGCCCAGTATAGGAATGAGCCTGTGAGATCAAGGCAAGTTGCCATGGAGGCTCACCGTGGCGGTTCAAACAGGACGACCAGCGCACCAACCTCCAGTAACACACAAGTATATCTGTGGAGGATGCCGGAGTTTTCTCCAGCAGACGTCAGGAACTGGCTGACTCGGGGGCGGGAGCGTATGAGTGGATGGACAGCTAAGCCTTCTTCGTGGGGACACAGCGACATCCGGTACACAGTTCTTCCTCAGGGCGATGACGATGACGATGATTTCTTGTGACCGTGTTTGTATGTTGTCTTTGTGTTATTCAGCTTGTAAGAGTATGTGTACGTGTGTTTGTGTGTGTTTGAGTGTGTATACATGATGTGTGTATGCATTATTCTAAAATGTATATTTTTTTTATTATAAACATAACATGCACTATTGATAACATGCATTGTACTCTGAAAGATGAGGCCTCAGAAGAGCCGAATGTCAGACGGGCCTGCATGCCCAATTTGTAACCCTTTGAAAATAAAGTTATTTCGTTCGTTCGTTCACTCGTTCGTTCTCTCTCTCTCTCTCTCTCTCTCTCTCTCTCTCTCTCTCTCTCTCTCTCTCTCTCTCTCTCTCTATCTATTTGAAGCCCCACCTTGGCTCTTGCAATGGCCACAATAAAGCCCGGCCATAAAATGGCCTAATGGCTGAACGCGGTTTCAGGGACCACTTCACGGGTGATCCGCATTGTCATCGGGTGTTTATCGCTTGTGTGATGGCCTAGTAGGGTAAAATGTATTACTACTACTCGTATTGTCCATATTTTTATTTCCCAAAATATTTCTACGACGAGTGTAAAACAACGATAATAATATTCTTAGATTTTATATTTACTGAAGAAGAAAAAAAAAAATCTGTAAATTAGTGACAACTAGACGTTAAAGTTAAGGAATAAATTCTATAATGTGTTTACAAATGTCTAATGTTGGATAATGTCTCTGTAATTACTTATCCTTGCAACGTGAACGTTTAAATTGGCTCCTATTTTTAATTTGAAAAATAAATAGGTTTTTAATTTGCACTCAAGATAAAATAATATACGTTCTGCTTCAAGTATATATTGACCCTAACCAGATTTAGGTGATCAAAGAGTTTGATTTTAACTGTCGGCTGTACGAAGCACAAACTTTCTTTCAACCAATAATCTTATTTTTCCGTCATTACATGGTCTTCAAATTTTATCCAGAACTGTTCGTCAGAGGGCAGCAATTTGTTTACATCTGAGAATTTGAAAATTGGGTTGTCACTTGCAACCTTTCGCATAACCTTTGCCACAAATAAATCTATTCTGAAGGATTTAAATGTGAATGGGAAGGGTGCAGTCTTAAACACAAACTGTCATGCTTCTGTGTTAGTTTACCAATCTGTTTGGCCTCAAAAAAAAAAAAAAAAAATTTTTATAATTGCATTGTAAATTTGTGTGTGTGTGTAACGAAGTTAACACATAATCTATGCCTTTACTTTATGACGACTTTTGGAAACCATACAGTATACTTTTTTTATAGTGCGTTGTACCTAAAAAAAAAAAAAAAAAAAAAAAAACCGCTTGTTTGAAAGATCGATCAGTTACATTTAAACGTAAACTCTTAAATATAACTCTTAAAATATCAGCTAACAAGGATCATTGTATTTTCTTATACCTCAAGCATGCAAAAGTGCATCCTAAATACTTGTTCTGATGGAGAAAGAAATGATAGGACACAAATCTGACAGAACGTTGTGACTGAAGTTAATATTAATAAATAATTGCATCCATTTATATTAATCTACAGCTTAGAGATATTTTTTTTTTGGGGGGGGGGGGGGGGGGGGGGGGGGGGGGGGGGGGGGGGGGGGGGGGGGGGGGGGGGGGGGGGGGGGGGGGGGGGAGTGCATCGGTATGATTGTGTAAACGCACTATAGTTACATTAATACGTTTTGATTCTTTTCCTGACAAGCGTTTAGAACCATAGGCGCCGCACACTGTGAGCCCCACACGACCCGTTGTTCAATTTTTTTGTTTCTTAAACATGTTAAGGGGTCTAAGTTTGCGCCCCCCCCCCCCTCATTTATCTGGGTATGTACATTCGCTGTAAACGTATTTGCTTTTACATTTTATTTTCATTTAGCTATGTTATTATCTTTACTTGCCATTCACCACATTATTATTATTATTTTTATTATTATTATTATTATTATTATTATTATTATTATTATTATTATTATTATTATTATTATTATTATTATTATTATTATTAATATTACTACTACTACTACTACGATGCTCTTAAATCCTAAAAATATCAGATGGAAGAAGTTAAATGTAGAATAGCTGAAGCAAAGGCGGCATTTTACAAAATTAAGAATATTGTATGCAATCTTTCTTTGTCAATTGAGACGAGAAAGATAGTTCCCAAAAGCTATATAAATACTATCCTGATATACGGATAGTATCAGAGACAGTTGGTCGATCAGTAAACAACTGTTAGCAAGCTGTAGCGATTGAGTTTTATAGACGAATTATGAGAATACCCTGGACATATGAAAAGAACAATGAAGCGGTGAAAACACAACTAACTTACAAAAAGAACAGATTGCCTACATCAGAAGGAGAAAATCTTCATTCTTCGGTCATGCTACGAGGAGAAGAAAACGGGACAACATCGTGACAGTGAAAAAGTTAAGCGGAAAAGAGGCAGAAGGAGACCAAGAGAGAAGTTTCTGGACAATCTGACATGGCATGGAGGATTATTTGTGTCAGTGTTGATTGAAAGTTCACAAGACAGAAGGTTGTGGATAGACAGGACTACCAACGCTACACCGTATGGACGTTAAGAAGAAGAAAGTAGGATTAGGACCCTTGACTGTGAACCGTCCTGCCACCTCCCCCCTTCCTCTTTAATTTATAAAAAAAAAAAGGGGGGGGGGGGAATGAAGGAATGCTCCTCAATGCCACAACTCTCTCAGGCTTTAGCCTGTGTAGCCTTCTGAGGCACACTGACAGACAGTTCAACATCACATTGAACACAAAACAAGGAACAATGGAAACCTCCCAGATACGAAATGTTGATTGGTTCCAACGACTGTTCCCTCCGTCAGTGCACCTTATGTTATCTTGGTTTTGGTGTGGCTGGTTAGAACACCGGACACTAATCAATAATCTCGGTTAGAATACTTAAAAGATGATAGAACTGTTGTGTCGGGGACAACCGTATAAAATATTTACTCTCACAGTTAATAAAGTAAGTTGCGTATCCTTTGCAAGACGTTGCACAACTAACCTCTTAATTTTGTGGCTGTTATGGTATTTTTAGGTAAATGTTACGTTCAGTAGTTTGCCATTGCTTACTGAACGGTCAGCGCTTGATAACACTGTCGAAACCAACGCAAGACAAACCGTCCGCAGCTAGCGTCGAACCCGGCACCTCGGCATTACGAAGCACGTTCACAAAGCCTAAGCATCAGACCCCGACTTCACAGTTATTGGCGACTGCACTAACAATGGGACCTTCAGTCCTCAAGCCCAACAGTTGTGGTAGGAAGCTTTCGGTCTTCATTCACTCCAGGTCATACACGAAGGGTGATCAGTTGCCTCACAAGCTCTTTCATGTCGACACATTTCCCACCGATGTCTTTGATACATTCGAAACTAAAACTCTCTGCGTGTTGCTGAATATGAGAACAAGCCGCATTTAGAATCTCCCGAGTGTTCGGATGACGATTCTTAACTCAACTTCCATGGATTTCTGATAATTATCCATTACTAATTTTATGAGGAATGGTCGACCCCTTGCCGAAAGTCGAAAGTTTGTTGTTGACATTAATTGATTAAGTTGTTCTCTGTTTTTCCAAGCCTTGTTTTCTCTACTCCTGGAATGCCTCACAGCGTCAGGGCAGAAACTGATCTCTAAAACGGGCCTTTCTGTTCGCTCCGTATATAATACTTTTTGATGTCTGAAATTTCCCTTGTCCATCTGTCGCTGTATTGTATGACACTGATGTCTATGGTGCCCTGCCTATAACCAGTACTATTTTTTTTTTAGCTAAACCATTTTATCTCCTTTGTACCGATCTAGTCGGGTACTCCTCCCGTCGGAACTGGAACTCTTCGCTTGCTGCTGAAGATTAGGATGGAGCGCTTAAAGGAGTGACTCGAGAGCTGTGACGTCGATTCCTAATTCAACATTTAACTTACTGATAAAGTTCAGCAAAGTTCTGATCCCTAATTAATTGGAAAAAAAAATTGTTACACTTTCGCTTTTCCAATATGATACCAGACACAGAATTGTATAGAGCAATGGGCACTCAGTGTGTGATGGGACGAGCATCCTGTTAGCCACCTTTACTTTCCCGGACATTACCTGTTAAGTATTTGGGACAGGGTGGACCACCTGGGAGCCAATGTCAGTTTTGAAAACAACATCCGTTTCGACGGGGAATTTAACCCAGGATTGTAGAACCGACAGGAACCTTAGCCCAATACTGATGTGACGTTAGCGTGTCATCATCATCATCATCATCATGTAGCTGGTCCTTTGCAGAACGTCGCTCTCATCACGGTCTGCCTAAAAGAAACTCGATCTCTCGCCAGATCTCCCGCCTTATATACTTTCATACTCAAGGAGTCACTTATATCCTTTGCCCTTCTTCGTGTCGGTCGGCCCCTGCACTTTTTTCCTGGTGCCATGCTTACTACTATAATTTTTCCAGTCCGTTGCGACGCTTGATATGACCAAAATATTTCAGCTTCCGAGACAAAAGTCCCTATTCTCTTTCTTAAGGACTGGGAGATAGTCCAAGATTCACACCCGTGTGTTGCTACAGGGAAGATGCATGCTTTCAAAATTCTTATTTTGATCTCCTTGCTGGTACTTAACCAAAGATTTTTAAGGCTGTTTAATATTTGCATTACTATGGCCATCCTCCTTTAATTTCTGTCAGCCTCCATTGCTTTTTATTATAGAGCCTAAATTTTCAAAGTTTGTGACATTTTCAATTTCTTCATCATTTATTGTTTTTTTTGAGTGGCAGCCAGTTTTATCTTTCGACATTATTTTCGTTCTCTATAATATCGAGACATTTTTGACATATCTCATTATATTTTCTGCGTATTTAATGAATAGTTATGGTGAGAGAATGCACCCCTGTCTCACTCCCTTTTTCACCTCGAGCCAATCTGACGTTTCACCAGCTGCTCTGATGGCTGCTTGTTGTTCATGATAAAGATTTTCAATTAAATGCACAAAATGCGATGGAAACCCATT